TCTCTCTCTCTCTCTCTCTCTCTCTCTCTCTCTCTCTCTCTCTCTCTCTCTCTCTCTCTCTCTGTGTGTGTGTGTGTGTGTGTGTGTGTGTATTTGCCATGTTCGCTATTATGTGGGATGTGTGTGTGTGTGTGCACGCGGATGGGTGTGTGTGTGCGCGGATGTGTCTCAACAGATGTGTGTGTGTGTGCGCTGATGTGTGTGTGGATGTGCCGATGTGTATGTGTGTGCATGTGCATGTTCGTGTGCGTGCGTGTGAGTGTTGTCACATTCGCCATACATAACTCCACAAAAGGAAGCATGACAGACTGCTTCACCGGACTTACACCGACTCATCAGGAGGTTGAACCTCAACAGTCTGCCCAGGATGCAAGTGCATACATGCGTAGGATGTGTGTGTCCAGGATGCAAGTGCGTACATGCGTGGGCATGTGTGTCCAGAATGCAAGTGTGTACATGCGTGGGTATGTGTGTGTCCATGTGCATCCTTGCTTTCATGCACGAGAGAGAGAGAGAGGACACCTTTGACCATGAGCAAGAACTATCAGCCGCACTATAGGGCCATATGATTCAGTGCGTACAGGAGTCTGTTCACGTAAGGCATTTATCGGCTTCATTACGATGCAGTGCATCCTATAGCGTTTGTTGGCGGGCTATAGCGTTTGTTGGCGGGCTATAGCGTTTGTTGGCGGGCTATAGCGTCTGTTGGTGGGTCGCATATAGAGTATGGCCAGGCCTTGAACTCAATGGGGCATCAGCGGGCCAATGCCCAACAGGCACTGAGCATTAGGCCCAGCAGTTTTTTCTTACCTACCGGCCCGTACAGATCCTCTTTCCAAAGGGCGCGTTGATCCGGACCGTCGTCCAGCTCGACGGTTCAGACCATCGCGCGATCGTAAGACTTTAAGATTGCACGACAATCCAGGCCTTGCAACCTGACGGAAGGCTTGGAACGTCGCGTGATCTTAAAGTCTTAAAGTCTTAAGATCGCGTGAAAATCTGGACCGTCGGGCCGGTAGGACCACAGGCCGCCCGGATTGCCCAGTTCTCACGTTAGCGATTTCTGTAAGTGTAAGGACAAGACACAGAATTCAATCCGACAGCCTAGCCAAGAACAATAATCACTGTCCTAACTTGCATATAATATACACATCTATTGTGATATTCACTGATATACTACCAACGAGTATGCAGAGATGAAAGGGGGCTTCCATGTTGTCATGTGTGCAAGCATAGTTGAGGACAGATCTCCATAGCTAGTCGGTAGAACGACAACACGCAATGCTCTCCTCTTTCTCCCTTTCCCCGGACTTCTTTTTCATGCGCAAAATGTGATGACAGTATAGCAACGACAATCCCTGGAGCTCCTTTTCTCCCCACTTTTCATGTGCGTCCTCATTTTCACCAGTTTGTTTCCTGATTCAGTTGTTTACATGATACCATTGCCCCGATAATTTGCCACCTTCAGATTCCTCTTCATTGATGTAGGGTTCAGGCCTCAGGGTTTATGGTTTACGGTTTATGGTTTATGGTTTATGGTTTAGAATCTACGAATGGATCAGATTCTAAACCGCAAACCGTAAACACTGAACCCCAAATGTACTCATATTGCATTCACCCTATTTCGCTCCAACAGGGGATTAATCGAGAGTCAACTACTTCATGCGACTTCATAAAGTCCAACACAATCAATCGCCGAGTCATCGCGTTGAGAATAAAGCGACAGTAATCAGCAATGTCTATTATCTTTGCCTGATGTTCTGTTAGCTTTGCTCTTAGTTTCCGTATCTGGCAGAGAATCTTCCACTTTCCCCTGGCCCTTCGTACTTTTGCTCGAACACATACAGTGCAGGATAAACCGTCGAGTCAATGCTTAAAGAACAAATTGAAATCATCAACAGACTCCATTAGGGTTTGGGCAGAGCCAACAAACAGCTTTTCTTGCTTTCTGCTTACCCGGTTAGCTCGGCTCTCTTTCTTATTCTTACCTGTTTGTACCCTCTTTGCTCTTAACTGCGTTTTCTGTTTTCTACATCCAGTTTTTGTTACTGCGAGCCCTTTGCCAGGTTCTAACTTGTTCACCTTATATATCTACTTATTGCTTTTGTTGCAGATTCATAACTGTTTTTTATTTTTATTTTCAACACCATGGTTGTTGGCGCATTACCTGAATTACTGGACACTTTTCTAGCAACAAGTATGAAATGGTTCACGACCACCTAAGAACCCCAAACATGACTCCGCGGTTCTGCTTCGCCGAAGCTTGGTACCAGCGAGCCGCTTACACTGAAATGCATCGCCATACGACATGGGGAGAAATTATCGGGCGACATCCGACACCGTCAGCACCAGTCATGAAAGGGAAGTTACTAGTTCAAGAAAAGCGTTCAGTCCACGTGTCTATAGTCCTCTCTGATTCCGCTTCTTACTTGTTAGCTACACGGTCAGCGCCGATGGTGTCAACTATCACACTGGCTGTCTACTTTCCTTGACTTCATAAATAACCACTATCTATGGACCTCGTCACTTCGAACTCAAGGTAACTTACGACCCAAGGCGGAGTAGACAGGTGGACAGATCCTTTGTTACTTATTGAATTGGCATACATAGCAGCTCAGACCCAAAAAAAAAAAAAAAAATGAAAACCGATAGCAACATGTTGCACAAGCGCGAGCGCTTTGCCTTCTACTCTGCCAGCGTTTTCATTACCACACTATCAACTCTATCTCGGAAGTATTTATGGCACCATCACTTTCCAAGAAGAGAGATATTTCATCTGAAATAGAAGTACAGACCGCATCTGTTCCGCCCGGAGCTGAACTCCACCAAACGAGATCGAAGGATACTGTACTACGGAATCACATGGAGATCATGGATGGTCAAACTATTATGGGATCCATGGATGAGCCGAATAATATTCATATTCAACAGTGGCAGAGAGATGATTCAGCTTAGCGACCAAAAAAAAAAAAAAAGTGGCCAGTCCAGAGGATTCTGCAAAAATACTACATATATAAACGCGCCCAACTGCCATTTTTCCCAGGAGCTGTGTACACAAGTACAGACCAATGAAGCCTTGCTATGATAAGCAGTAACCACTCCATCCCTGAGCAGCACAGTGCGGCGGAGTAAGGCACATGCATCATGTGGAAAACCTTTGGGCACCTCCGCTGGCAACAGGATAGACGATGTTCATGGACGCCCTAAGGTGTATTGCAAACCCTCGTTCTCGTGCGACATGGAATTTCAACCTCTAAAGCATGCGTTTGCTCTGCACATTGGGCACCAGCTGGTCGGATACTATGCACCTGGCCTCGAAGTTGAGTCCCTAATACTAGACCGCAACACATACAGTACTAGCATGACTAGACCATCACTGGTCCTCACATCCTCTATATAAAACCCCTCCGTTAGGCTTGACCTCACACATTTAGAGTCCCATGAGCCTGGCCCTAGGTAGACTGCCCTGGGGCCTACAGTTGCCCTAAGCCTATCACTGGACCTCGTTCCCAGGTTCAGCAACACAGCTATTAACCAAATGGCAGCCTACCAGTTCCCCCAACGACCCAGAAATGCTCGCAGTCTGAGGGATCCTCTGGGGACGTTCACCAGTGCGACTACCAGAATAGAACCTGACATGGGCGGAGATGGGCTTCAGCCACCTGCTTTGTTTGTTACCTGCTCCCGTGGTAACCTTCAGTCTAGATTCAGCGATAATGACCGTGACCGTGAGTTCTATTCGGGTCCCCAGGGTAGCCTCACTCACCTGTTCGATCTCTGATCAGACAAAAACAAAAAGAAACAGAAGGGTCGGACTATGATCGTAGTTCATAGATCAATACTTGGGCAGACAATTAACTGCGCTTATCCAGGTATGGAAGCCGCTGCGTGAACAGAATGCTCTTTCAAAAAAAAAAAAAAAAAAAAAAACCCACCGGTCCTACTGAATGCAATGCTCATTTAATGCGCATGTACTATGTACTCAACTTGTCAATCCCTACACGCTGACATCTTCTCAGTTGAAGTACGAAGATTCACCTTAGTACATCAATAGAGAAAAAGGATGCACTTGAAAATGGTAAACGGCATCGGTAAAGAAAACGAAGCAATGCTAAAGACTTTTCTTTCGTGTGTGTGTATCTTATTTATCAATCT